CCCGTGTGATAACGTCCCTAGTGACACCACTGAGTCCCCCAAAGTGTCCTCCCTCCTTCTCTACTTATCCTGCTCCCTCTGTGATGTAAAGCAATGCCTCTTCTTCTTCCCAGGCTGCATCTACACTGCCGTTTGACAGCGGCGGAATTTTGAGAGTTGTAGTTTTGTGAGATATTTAGCCTTCTCTGTTAGAGAGATCTGGTGCCACAGCAAACTACAAATCCCAGGATTCCATAGGATGGAGCTGTGACAATGAAAGTGGAGTCAAACTGCATTCATCCTGTAGTGTGACAGCAAGCCCACACCCCTCTCAGCTCTTCTTTAGAATGCAGCTAGGTTAGATTAGCACCGTGAACAACTTTCCTATCTTCAGAATGGAGTTCCTGTAATAAACCTTTACTGTTTCTCTGGGGTCCGAAGCAGTGTGCAGCAATAATCCAGTCTGAGACTGCTTAAATTGCCCTGCCTCGATGCTAGGGAATTCTGGGAACTGTAGTTGTGTGAGACATTTAGCCTTCTCTGTTAGAGAGCTCTGGTGCCACAATAAACTACAGTTCCCAGGATCCTCTAGCAGAGAGCCAGGGCAGTTAAAGTGGTCTCAAACAGATAATTTCTGCACTGTGTTTTGGACCTGTCCTAAGCCATTGCTGTCTTTTGCTTCTCTAGCTGCTGCAAGTACACCATGTTGGGGGTGTTACCTGCAGAACTTAAGGCCTCAGTCACACTAGGTAGAACAAAGGCCTGGGATACCAAGAGCTACCCCATCTCTTGCGTTTGAAAGACAGGCCCATTATTGCTACATTTGCTCTGAAGCCTGGTTATCACTTGCCAATGTAATCTGCCAAAGCACAAACCTGGCACTCGGGGATGCAGCAGAGAGCACAAAGCAGGCCCTGGTTTTGGAACTGCTCCAGGGGTTTGGCCTTCTCTATAGCTCTCCCAATGTATCAGGACTACAACCTCCACCATCCCTATTGACAGAAACCCTCACAGGCCTGGAACACCCGCTAAGGAAGATCAAAGAAGAAAGTGCAAAGGCAGGCTTAATGCTGAACATAAAGAAAACAAAAATAATGACCACCGAGGACCTTCACAAGTTCCACCTAGACAATGAAGAAATAGAAATAGTAAAGGAATTCCCATAACTGGGATCAAACACTGATAGAAATGGGGATTGCAGTCAGGAAATCAGAAGAAGACTAAGGGTTGGCATCATCCAGTGCAGTAACTCATGGTGTCACATCGCCCCTACTGACTTCCTCCCATACCACAACATTACTGGAGTCCTTAGTAATGTCTTTTGTATTAACGTTGCTCATAAATCATAATTCTTGTATGTCACTGGATGCAATGGCAATAGCTGTGACATAAAAAAATTAGAAAATTTAAATTGTATCTTTAAATTACGATATCAATATTATTTACGTAGCCTAAATTTATTTACATGTGCATGGTTTTACGTGGTTAAAGTGAAAACTTGATAAGATATTATATATATATATATATATATATATATATATATCATATCAAATTTTCACTTTAACCACATGGAACCATGTACATGTAATGGCCTTGCGCTTGCACGTGCATCTGTGAAAGACTGGGGGATGCGAACGGCAAGTCCGCAAACAGCGAGGGACGAGTGCATATATAATTAAATTTTAATAAAAAAACAACGCAACAACCTGGGGACTCTCCTTTCTCTTCCGACTGAGCCTTGTCCTGCTCACACCATCTCTTCCACTCAGCTCCAGCATTTTAAAAGGATGCAGGTGAACACCACATCCTGTTTCTGCCTGAAGGCAGATATTTGGGGAGCAGAGATGCCACCCCCCCTTAGGATGTCCCCTGGTGCGGCCCCCATATTCCACATCCCCTAGTGACACCCCTGCTCTAAGGATCTGACCCTATTTCTACTGCCTACTGCCATGTTAAATGTTTGTTGCACTTCCAATACTTGATAGCTCTGCAGTTGGGATATGAGGTGGGTGGTTAATGCTGTTGAACCACATGGGAGGGCATTTTGAGAGAAAGCTCTAAAGCCCCCTCCCCAGGAACATTTCTGTCGTGACAACAAGACGTGCAAGACGCATGTGTGTCTTTGTGTGGTGCCAGTAGTAGCAGCAGCAGCAGCATGGGGGTCCTAGCTGCATTCGCTCCAATGGCACCTCTGATAATCCAGTCTGGGCTGCACATTTCCCAACGCTGGTTGGTGTACCTCATGCACGAATTCCATTTCCAGGCACAGTCCTCTCTGTAAATGGCAGGGAAGCTTTGACCCAGTGGCATCACTGTGGTTGTTGTCCCCTGATGTAGGAAAGAGGAACGCACTGTCCTTCCTCTCTTCTCCACCTGCCCAAACCGCTGCTGAGGGGGGCAGTGTTGTGGCCTCTGGAGGGCCCATTTAGGGTCCAGGGAGAGTGCTGGGAGAGCGGAAAAAGGAGGCAACACCATTTCCCACTCGCCCAGTGGCCACGCCAGTCCCTCTGGGTGTACTGCCCCACTCAGTATACACCCACTTCTGGCTGTCACCCAGTGCAGTTTGCACCCCCTGCAGCTCCTAGTGACATATCTGTTTTAACCTTCCATGCCTCTTTCAAGATTGGCTATAGTCCAAAAACATCTGTGGAGCCATAGGTTTCCCAGCCCTACTACTATGAAGGCTATGCCATGTTATTATACTGTACCACACCTCAGATGTTGCCACAGTTTGGTGTTAATGTCATGAGTTGCTTTTGCCTTCCATAATTTATGGGGAAATTATTTAATGAACGGACTTTTCCGCTAGTTAGAAATCACCTCTTGATTTCCAACACGCATTTCTCCTACTGCCAAAATTCTGTGATGGCCCTAAAATCTGTCCACTTCCAATTTGTATTAAGCTCTTGGTGCATGTGAGCATGCCTCATTCGGCTCTCATTTAGTGGCTAAACCTACTGTAGTGGCTTAAGACTAAAGGGTAGCAGAATTTAACCCGTGCCTTCAATATGAGAGAAGCTGTCAAACTTGTGGCTAACAAACCATGCAGCAGCTTCATGGAAGAGTTATTTATCTTGTTACCCTCAGCCAGGCTCTAGGCCTAGGAGTACCTCCCTTTTCTCTGTATGTACAGCAGACTTGCACAAATAGGTAGGGGCCGAAATTAAGATAGGCTAAAGTTGTTCAGGATGCAAATAGGTTTTTAGTGGCTCACTTTCCAAGGTATAATTAACTGATGATTAACCTATTTTGAAAATACAGCCATACTATAAAAAAGGGAATTTCAGTTAATATCAATTAAATAGACCTATTAATTAAGATTTTTGTTTAACTTGAAATCACATTAATATTAAAAAATACATTTGTCCCTTCCTATTCGCAGACTTCTCGTTTGTGGTTTTGAGTTTCCGCAGATGGCAAGCCAGGAGGGATAAAATAGGCATGTGCTGCCATTATAGTAAATGGAGCTTGAAGATCTACATTTTTTCTATTTCGTGGGGCCCCCCGGAATGGATCCCCCCGCGAACAGGGAGGGACGAATGTACTTTACTGAGCGGTACAGGTTT